ATACAGGATCTCTGGTCCTATTTTACTTTATCATATAGTTAATTGTTCTGGTTAGGTTTAAGGCTGCATCCGATTGAAGTTTTGGTAAAATGTTTGGAAGTATTTTTACCATGTCATTAGTAGGATAATACGCAAATAAATTAAACAGTAGTTGGAAAAAATAATTTTTAATTTTATGATTATTGATAAAATATTTATTAATATAGGTTTACTTGGTGATGTCATGTAATGTTGAAATGGTAGCATGTCCGCTAAGAAATAAAATATTATTTTGAAAGAATGTATGAAGGTTAATTAAAATAGGATTTCTATAAATTGCGTTACTGAAGTTCTGTGAATGTAAATATTGTGGCACATGGCTACATATCATAGCCAGTAGGTTAACTATAATTAGGCTTTCTTTTGGATTCTGAACTGGAATTCATACCTGGATTTTAGCGCTTGCATGCCGTGTCGTTTGGAGAATTTATACTTGAAGTAGTTGGACATTGAGACTTACAAATCGTGTTCCATCAACTCTTATCCAAGACTCTGTCCCTCCCTACCCCTGCGGAGCGACCTCTGTTTCCCTTGCCAGTTTTAAACTTTTTAACACATTTCTTTGTATTATTTTCTCACGTTCTTGTCATAGCTTCTTGAGATACGGGAAAGTTGTCTCTGTGCTTAACTAACTGACCATTACACCTTGAAGGCGTATGGGGGAGTGGATGCATAGATCCACATTTTTTTAACTGGGCTCTAGTTGGAGGTGACTGGTTAACTTCACACCCAGGCCGTTTTACCCCCGGGGAAGAGTCCCCGATAACCTTATGTTGGGAGGTTGGTTGAACCCCAGAATCGGTCTGGACGACGTGGAGAAAAGAAAATTCTTGGCCCTCCCAGGACTGAAACTCCGACCTCTCTTTCGTCCAGCCCGTAGCCAATCGCTATACCGACTGCGTTATCTCAGCTTCTATCTTCTTGAGGGACACGTGTATTTTCTACTGTTTTGAACTTGCAGTTTTGTCTCTTATTTGTTATAAATCACAGCATTTTCAATGAAATTAAATTTGTTTTGCTTCAAAATGTCGACTGTCTCTCTCTTAATTATAACTCATCTCTTACATCCATATCGGGATATCTCCTTTGATGTTATGTCTTGTTAATCTTCACTAAGTTTTTATTTGTTTCCTCCTCGTTATGGCTTCTATATAGTTTATTATTGATAATCAACTAACTAACTAATTAACTTCATGGAGCTGAGCCCTTCTTGAGAAGCCACCAGTTGTGAAGCTACTCAAGAAATTCCCAGGAATTTACGGAACCGGGAAGTTCATTACCGTATTCGCGAGAGATCTCCACTGGTCCATATTCTAAGCCAGATCTATACCACCCCAACCTATCTCTCCAAGATTCATTTTAATATTATCTACCCACCAATACTTTAGTCTTCTTATTGGTCTCTTTCCTTCTGACTTTCCCACCAATTTTCTATATCAATACATCTTCTCCCTATTCGTGATACATTCCCTGCCAATCTCATATTTTTTTACTTGATTATTAGTTTATTAATCGATGACCTTTTTAAATTCTAAAATGTTGTTCCTTACATACTTGAAATACCTAACTCGGTCAATGATTTTTTCTTTTGTCTCTACTTTTAGCTTTCTATTATCATTCCTACATATTTCCGTTGAAATGAAATTGATATTTCGGCAACTCTTTTGCTTATTTCTATTCGAGGATTACGTAAATCCTGTTCACCTGTTACGTAATAGGGCAACATAACATGCTAGAATGTATGGCGCTTGTTGTAATATTCGTGAGATGTAAGTTTACAAAAACCCAATTATTACATATATTTTATTTTATGTAACTTGAGCAAGTGATATGTCTTGTTGCTCCTTACCTTATGTAACTACGATTTTACGACTACATAAATGATATATCCTTGGAAGAATGGCTGATTATTAACGAACAATTCAGAAGAATTTGAATAAAGCGGTCGTTACCCACAATATTTAGCCTGATTTCAAGCCAAGAATTGAAAATGAGGCCTCCCAAATACGAGACAATTGCGAACAACTTAACGGCGAGACTCAACATTCAAATTTATGTTAATGTACTAAGACTGACTTTCTTTCTTTTCCTGGGGCAGGGTGAGACTGAGTTCACTTGGTGCACCAGCCACTAGTAGATCATGAAGAAAGCAGGCTTCTGGGATTTGGCACCGTGTATATGTGGTGTTAACCGACGTTTCGGAGGAACATATCGCCTCAATCTTCAGGGTAGAAGGAAAAATATAAGAAATCGGCAGGCGAAGAGACCATGAGAACCGGTACAAGCAGACTGGTCTGCTTCCTTCTACCCTGAAGACGGAGGCGATACGTTCTTCCGAAACATCGGTTAACACCACATATACACAGTGCCAAATCCCAGAAGATTGCTTTCTTCATAGTCACCGCCGTGAAAACCTCAAATCTTACTAGTAGATCAGTTCTACCAGCCTCGGATGATAGATGAGTATACAGCATTTGCTAGTATGAAAATTGGCAAGGGAAACAGAAGTACTCGCAGAAAAATTGACGTAGTGCAACATGACATGACGTGGGATCAAACACTGGTAGCCGCAGAGTGAACCCGCGACTAACCAGCGGCTACGGCACTGCCAAAACTGATATCTTATTTCCTGTGCGTTCAGACATAGCAGATAGACTCATCCCTGTGTCCTCTCTTCTGATATAACGGCAAAGTAGGCAGTAGGATCGGGAATCGCGGTAGCGTAGTTGGTTGAGGACTGTGCTACAAGCCGGAAGGTCGCGGGTTCAAGTCCCGATGAGGTCATTGGATTTTTTCAGTTGACCTAATCCTTCCAGCCACACTATGGCCCCGGGATCGACTCAGCCTCTAACAGAAATGAGTACCAGAAATTAATTAAATAATTTTCTTGTGGAGTAAAGCGCGGCCGGTGTGTAAAGCTGACAACCTTACCGCCATCTGTGAGCCGATTGTCTAGATAATGTGGGAGTCTCAACGTCTCACAACCCTATGGGCCTTCACGGCCTGTTACAGGGATGGCTTTACTTCTTTTACTTAAGCAGCAGGATCTACGTATTAGGATATTACATCCCTTTGAGTCCAGCAATCCCAGCCGCAAGAGAATTGCGGGAGGTTAGATAAGTGTCGCCATTTGTCTTTTAATGACATCGTAAAAGAACGAGAAATACAAGTGTCATAAAATGTTCAAAATTTTGCCTCTTTAGGAGTCGTTAAAGTTTGCTACAATGACGATATAATGCGCCGTTATGTCACATATGCGTCCAATTGCGCGGATTAAGAGCCTAATGTTTTAAATATATTTGATACATAGCCTCTCACTTGTAGTGAGTTGTGCCAAGGTTATTTATTGTCTTTGAATTTGCAGTATCTTAGCTTATTCATGTTCACAATTTTATAGGCGCCTTTTATCCAAACCCAGGACATTTAGAATTCATGTTTATCAAAATTTCTGAGAGTCCTGTTTGCTGAAATTTGTCACTCTTATTTAGTATTTCAGCTGATACGTATTCGGAAATCACCAAATTTGATTTTGATCCGAATGTGCTTTATCCTGGTTGAAGATTCTTGTTGTCTTTTTGAGATCCTGAAGATGGGTGGGTCCAGTGATTGAGACTAGCTCTTTCTAACGGGCCCAACTGAGTAGGTTTATCCTTCCCTATCCACCTGAAGACGGAGACAGATCCAGTCTCCGAAACGTCGTGGTTTTTTGTCTTTTTGTCTTTCACATACCAGACAATGGGTGAAGTCCAAAATAAGCCAAAAGAAGTACAGTATACACCATCGTCAGAATCCTTTCAAATCTCTCTTCAATTATATTAAGTAATTTTACTTTTACCTATAACGAAGTATATTAATTTACATCTTTATTAATTTTTTGCACCAAATCTGTAAATCGGGCTCATTATTGGGAGTACTATCCGTCCTTATGTCTCATCTACGAAGCCATTAAAAATTTCTTTCGGAAGTATTGTTAAAAATTCGAGATATTTTGGTTTAGAATTTTATCTCGAAATTTAAATGAAATAAATATGAGACTTTCTGATTGTGGATAGGTAAGACGGAGTGAGATGGGGCATTACAGAGACTATTTCTCTTCCTTCAGCCTTTATGGATCAGGCCTTCAGGTCTTTCCCAATTCAGAGTTAAGAGCTGAAGTTATGAAAGTTATTTATAGACATTTTTCATGCCCCTTTAATGGAAGATCTTCCTATGTCAAGGCCCTTCATCCACAGGAAAGCACAAACAAAATAAATGCGAAAATATTATAAATTACGCCCTGAGAGGGATTTGAACCAAACTAACTTAATGTTCGAAAGATTGAAGACATTATGCGCCTTAGAGAGCGCGGTCAGTGTGATCGGCCTTCTGATACTGTATCAGCAATGCTATTTTATAAAGCAGGTAAACGTCTTTTTAACTCAGGACCTTCGACCATCTTTTCGTGTACATTCCTCAAGAAATGAAGAAAATGCATATACAAAAAATAAGGTATCAGGAACTGTAGAAAAACGGACATGGGCCTCGTATATTACTATTTGTTCTCCGTTCTCATTACAGTACAACGTACAGGCTCTTATTAGCATTTAACAAATGTTCTATTCTCATATTGAAACACGAAGTTTTCTTAATATCAAATATTTCACTAGAAAGGAAACGAATTGCAGTGAACCAACACAAGCCAGAATGTTTATATGAACAGCAGCGAAGCAGCATATGTTACAAAAGAAAAGAACATGTATTCCAACGCTTCATTCAATCATTTCTTTTCTGTATCTTCAATTCCGTATACGTGATACTAACCCCTCTATTCTTTTTAGTAACTTGTGTTGTAAGGTACGGGTTCATGCGCAGAAGCTAGAACCATTCCTCTCCCCTCTTCAGCCGCACCCCTCGTCAACCCTCGTGACGATGCTATGAAGCGCGTGGCATGGTCCAACCAACCGGTCGCGTACTTACTCGTATTACGTCCGCGCTCCTTCCCTGCATCGGACGTCAAAGTCTGTGGTTTCACTCCTTGCCAAAAATACGCGGTCAAATCGGGCAAAGAGTTTTATTTTAATTTTACAAGTTTTGTTTAGAAGTTGTGATTTTGGTGAACATTTAACACGTGTAGAAACGAAATGGATTATATTTTGTGGCTAGTCGCTTAAAATTTAAAATCAAAATTACTTTTAGTTTATCTAATACTTATATTTACTTATTTTAGTCTCATAGAAGTGGAAATATATGGTGATATTTACAGTGATTTTGAATTACGGATGAAACTAGACAATTAAATGATATTCCAGTAGAGTGAACAGGGGATCTGAGTTTGGTGCGTTCGTCGAATTGTGAAGGGAATGCTGAAAAGAGGTAGGTGAAAATCTATATTTAAGATTTATCATACTTGAAATTCGCCAGACATGGTTAGCTACACATAATCTTACAGAAAGGATCTAGCGATTATATTGTATTAAATTATTTGAAGCACGAATTTCCTCGAAATAATATTAAAATTGCATTCCAACCTCGCAGAAAACACGCATTGTCTTCTTTACAAGAACCAATTGGCTAATGCTGTGCGTAGAAATGATCACTGTTTATTATGAGAATCATGGAATAGCCATAAATATACATCTTGAACAAAATTAAGAAATTCTAGCGTTAAAGCAGGTGGCATGTATAGTTACCACTGCGTTTTAAGGAGTTAACCAATCAGTACTAAACATATTTTTAAAATATAAATATTTACATTATGCTGAAAGCCGAAATAAAATTATTTTGAGCTTAAATGACGAAATTTGGGGAAGTGGATTTATAGCTCCACCATTCTTGAACAAGGCAATAGATGAAGGTGAGTGTTCAGTTTCACGCGCCGGCAGATTCACCCTCACGGAAAGAACCCAGTTTTCCATTGTATAGGAGGCTGGGTAGGCTTCGTGTCTTAAATGTTTAAACTCTGCTGACATAAATAAACTTCATAAATATTGAGATATAAATTTGGTGTATTACAACATCTGTAGACAATGCTGATGTATCAAATGAGAAAGCTCTCTATAAAACTGAGACTCTTATGTACCAGACATTTCTTTACTTTTTAAGTGGTGTGAGGCTCATGTTTCATTCTCACATATTGCAAACTCTTATTGATATTCATTTATTTGAGTTTGTTTAACGACGCTGTCAGTATACAGCGTCGGGTATGCTAGAGGATAGTGAACAATGAATTTCAAGGAATCTGAAAGGAAGTTGCCCTGATCTAACGTAAGTTACTCCCTCGGTATTCACTTGGAGAGTTCGAGAAGTCACGACACTCGGCGTCCTAACCGAGCTACGAATATACACGTGTCCAGTACAAATGAAGTGTTACTGTTTGAGCGAAATGTTTATATATTTATTGCTTTTATATATAGCTTCTATATACATAATTTACATCTTTGTAGCTTGAAATCAGGAACGCAAATTTGCACTTTGTCTTGAACACATTTGGAAGGCATAAAGAAGACATGAAATAGGTAACGGTAAACATGTCCTTGCGCCTAACTAATTAAGCATTACGCCTTGAAGGATTATGGGGGAGTTGGTGTGTAAAAACACATTTTCTTGATCTCGTCACTAGTTGGAGGTGAGTGGTCGGCTTCACGCCCCGTCCGCTTTACTCCCGGGGTAAGAGCCTCCGGTACCCATTGGATATGAGCTTGGGTGGACCCCAGAGCCGGTCTGAACGACGTGGAGAAGAGAAAATTCTTGACCCTACCGGGACTCGAACTCCGACCTCTCGGTCGTCCAGCCCCTAGACAGGCGCTATATCACGGCTCCTCAGACATAAAATAAAGTTCATAGAAACCATTAAACTAGAAGGAGGTGAGCCGTTAGATTCACTCTCCGATCGTCTTCATTCCTGAAAGACGGGTTTTGCAGAAGAGTTAATTTTGACGCGGGGGGAAAAGTTTCCTTTTATTGTAGGGATCGAATTCCCTTATTCAGTAAAATTACCAGTCCATTTCCACAGCAGAAGGTGCAATGGTTCACGATGAGACAGGTTTTTATGAACAAATAATGTTTATAAATTTACCTAGACACCGGATAAATTTGGTCAACCGATGCTGGAAGCAGTGAAACCCCTGAAACGTCGAGAAAATTATATTAGCCAACAGTGAGTCAAATTACAGATGATAGTATTCTTAAATTTAAATTAATATACGTTTCTGATAAGTCAGGTTAAAGCAGTGTGGCTTGATTTTTTTGGCATATTTGCCCCATTAAACGTAACCAGCACACCCTTCCTTCAGTGTATGGTAATAGGTAAACGAAAATTACGATAAATAATTCTATTTGATTTCTTTTGAGGACCGGGTATAGCGACTTGCTACAGGCTGGGCGGCCGAGAGATCGGAGTTCGAGTCCCGTAGGGTCAAGAATTTTCACTTTTTCACGTCGTTCAGACCGGCTTTGGGATTCACGCAACCTCCTTTACAATGGATACTGAATAATCTTTCCCGGGGGTAAAGCGACCTGGACGTGAAGCTGACCACTCATCTCCAACTAGTGCCGAAGTCAAGAAAATGCGGATCTATACATCCAGTCCCCACTACACCTTCATTGCGTAGTGCTTAATTAGTTAAGCAAAGCAACAGATTTACCTTTCATCTTGCCTTTATTTGATTTCTTTTTACTCTGTGTACCAGAGACGCTCCATACACCCTGAGGTATACCGAACTATATATCAGGGCGTAATAATCTCCAGGTTAAATCCACAAAACTTAACTCCATAATCACGTAAGATTGTAAAGGCGGACGTGTCATAGCTCAAGCGGTTAGTCACTGGCTTCCCACCGCGGCGGCCCGGGTTGGATCCCGGGTCTGGTCAAGTAGGATTTGTGGTGGACATAGTTACGCTGGGGCAGGTTTTCTCAGAGTACTTCGGGTTTCCCCTGCCTATCTTCATTCACCAATTGCTCCACAATCACCCTCACTTACCATCTGGGGCTGGTACAATAGGCCAGAAGTGGCCGCAGTACAAGGGACTTAGTTCCACCCCACTAGCAATAAAAAAAGATTGTAAAGCTTGCAGCTGTTTTTATTAAAGCATAAATTCCTGATCTCAGCAAGAGCACAGATAACTGTGTGAGCACCCGATGGCAACTACAGAATATTCTTGCAATTTCAAGCTATTTTTGCTGTTTATGTCTGCATCTCCATAATGCCTCCAGTAAAGTTTTCGACAGATCGTCGTTGTTGTTTTGTTGTATTTTTGTTGCTGTGCTTCAGACTTTATAGTACAAATCCACTTATTTAAAGGCATTGAGGGCATGAACAAGGCATGTAGAACGCATGACTGAAATAATACATAATTCAGAGTTTTTTTTATTAAATCTTAAGTGAGGAAACTATTTGGAAAATCTGTTGTAGCTGGGAGAAAAATATTAAAGCTTTTTTAAATAAGTAAGGGTGAAGGTACGAATTGTGTTCATCTGGCCAAGGTTATGAAGGTTATGGACAACTGGAAGGTTCTTGTGGGCACGGCAATGAATTATGGGTTGTCACCTAGCGGCGGGGAAATCTCTTGATTAAACAATACTGTTTTATTCTCAGGAATAACTTTTCAGTATATAGTCTGATATGTATAGGGATATCTCGAGGCTTGGATATGTTTTTGGAGTTCCAGTAGGCCCAGAAGAATCCACTCACTGAGATGAGTTTTATCTTCATGTGGCCTGTTTTGTTCTTGGGACATCCATGAAAGCATTAGCTATCTATTTTTATCTTGAAGTTCTTTTATGAGATCGGGTGTTGTAATTTTAGTAATAATTACGCCACCTTGTAAAGGTATAACACGCCAATTTGGTAACTACTTTAAAGATTAAATAATTTCCCCTAACTAATCTTCCATTAATTAATTTCCTTGATATGTAGGTTAGGGAATTAAATATATGTTCATGACAACGATATTGGTGCTAAAGTGAAGTAAGATTTATTACTTGCAAATTAAATGCAATTTGCATTATATTTTGAAAATGTATTTCCTAATTTGCCGATCACAGTGGCCGGATGGTCTAAGGCATGAACTATCTTCGGCCGCTCGAACACCGGGATCGTGGTTTCGAATCCAACTGTGCGTTTATTCTGGTTTTGTGCTGTTCTGTGTATCGGCTTTGCGATAGACTGATCTCCAATAGAAAGTGATATACCGACACTGTAAAAGCTAAGGAAACTGAAAAAGCGGCCAGGGCCCAGCAAAGTCATGGATGGATAGGCAGATAGTTCTCTAATTTGGGTAGTCTAATAAATTTCCCAAATTTAAAATTTTTTAAAACAGTTCTGTGCTCGTCTTGGAGAATAAAGCATTATAGAAATTTATCTTTCCACATACATCCTTGCTAGTAACTAGTAGTTCACTCAGTACAACTGTACAGTTCTTATATAATGCATTATTAATCTTAGTTGGCCTAAAATACATAACATGCACGACTAATTAAGATATATTTAATCTTTGAAATTATTGATCTGATTTAGATTAAATTTCATACTGGATGTCAGCGGTAGAAGTGGCCAGCCATAATTAAGTTTGGTCCAATAACATACGTACCTTACATGAAGCTGAATTCACCCTTCATAATTGGGCTTGTTATGCCAATATTAGCATCTCGCATGAAATTTAGATATAATACGGTCCATAAATTTTATTTCATACATATTTCGATATGATATATATTAAAAACACAATACATTATATATTACGAAAATGCAATTCTATATTTGTGTTATTATCTAACTTCATTGGAATGTTCATATTTTTAATAACTGATTTATATCTGTAATAAACAAATTGCATCCCCAGTGTGACATGTACCATCGTCAAGCACGTATTTAAAAATATGTAGCTATGCGCTACACAGTGTTGAAGTAAATTTCAATATTAATTTGTTTTTGATTTTGAGGTTTGATTTGCAGCACAATAAGGAGAGCAATAAATAACAGGATAAGAAAAGATACATACATATATTTCTATAAAGTTATGGCTTCATCATAATTTGGAATATACAAAAATAAGGTAAAATAAAAATGTAAAGCTATCACTGTAACAGGCCGTGGAGGCCCATAGGGTTGTGAGACGTCGAGGCTCCCTTATTTTCTAGACAATCAGCTCACAGATTGCGATAAGGATAGTGTTACGCGCCGGCAGCCCTCTACCCCGCCAGGAAGATTCCTGATACTCATTTTTGTTAGAGGTTGAGTCGACCCCAGGACCATAGTGCGGCTGGAAGGATTAGGTCAGTTGAAAAATTCACTGATCTCATCTTGAATCGAACCCGCGACATTCCGGCTTGTAGCATAGTGCCTCAATCTCCATGACAAAAGAAGAGGATACA